CACTGCTGCCTCAGATCCCGGTCCAAACCTCCCGCCCGGCCCAAAAGGTCAACCCTCCGCCCCTGGAGCCTGCAACCGTCGCCTCACCTCTGGCACAAACACCATCAGCCTTCCTCTGCCAGCTTGTTACACCCAGACGAACACAATCCATTGCTGTGTTTTATTTGGAGATGAACGTCTGAACTCTCTGTTCGCGAGGTTTGTGTTTCACACTGATGTGTTGGAAAATTAGTTTAATGTGCTTCCTTGAACAAAACATGTTTACTAAATTTTTTTCCACAAAGTCATTCTTTAATAATGAAATTTTATTCTATTTGTTTGTTTGTTTGCTGTTTTAGGACGTCTTGTCACTTTAAAGCCAAATGAGCTGCTGCTGTCCACGACACTCAAGTCAACGCTTACACTTTCACGTGAAAATGGCTGCAAACAGAAGCACAATTACACAACCGTACATCTTTGAAAAGCAGAAGTGGAGTCTCCTGCACAACCAACAAGAATCCAGCAAGTGGTTTCTGGATAGTAAGTCAGCAATAAAACCCTTGTCTTTTCCAGCAGCCATTGTACTTTGAATTCAGTGGGAAAACCAGTCAGCCAAACATGCAGAAGCTCAGCTGGGGTTGCTAGCCAATGGGTGGAAATCAGCCGTCAGCTCGATGATGGCTGATACGTGACGTTACATTCTGAAGGTTTTTTAAACGACGATAGCAAAAAATATAAATTTATTGCCAAAAAACATCTGTTTTTTTTATTTTATTTTACTGATTTTAGAATCAGTAGAAACCCAAATGGAAGTAGAAATATGTACCAAATATGAATTTTGCATAACAGATTTTCTATAAAGTATTTCTGGGAAAATCGTTCAAGCACCTCAACTTTGAAATAAGAAGTTTGCTTTCAGAGTGGTCTCCAGTCCGCTTTGCGTTCACATATGTATTTGAATCACACTGAGTTCACCTCAACCGAACCGAGACCGGGTTGTAGGTGGCCAGAGTTCGATTAGCATTCACACTTCCCCAAACAAGCTGGACTTTCTAGGACTGGAGTTGAATTTCAGTGGATTAAACAGGGCTGGTGTGATTAAACTCTAAATCTGCTGTTTGTGTTGTTTCCAGGACACTGAGCTCATTTGTCACTTGCATTAGTTCAGATGATAACTGATAAACATAGTTAGAACAATTCTGAGCGTATAATATCCCCTGCATTCGTGTGTTTTTAAAACCGGTGTGATGCATTCTCATTCCACCCTCCCTCCGCCTTTAAAAAAGACTTCCAGCTGCCCTATCTGCAGGGATCCTTTCATCATGCAGAATCCATTGCTCACCATTTTGATACTTTCATCAGCCTCACAATAACTGAGGCATCCTGGCGACATTACGCAATCAGCTGAAACACTATTACCTCATTGTCCCATTTTTGCATGGCGGCGCAGGCAGGTACAGTATCTTCCAACCTCCCCCGATCCGACAAATTTAATCATCCCCACACACGACTGAGAGTCGCTGTGACATCCTTCCTCTGCCAGACAGCCAAGTCACACTGGCTGGCCACCTCTAATTATTTCATGCCCCTTGGTTCTGTGAGTACAGGACGATATGGTGGTGCAGCGTTGGAGAAGAATGAGGCTGATTGACAGCCAGCCCTCATCCCACAGGAGCTCATTAGGCTTCCTGACTAAAAGCTAGTGGGCACGCTCATGCTGCTCCTGCTGCCTTCTTCCTCTGGTCCTCCTTTTAGTCCTACATTCAGTAAGTTGGAGAAAGAAACGCCTGAACTCAGCTGCAAGCTGAGAGTGAACTTACTGTGCTCTTATCTCATCTGATCTGAGGATCAGCTTGCAGTAAAAGTTTCTTTTTTGGAGATATTGCTTTCATTTGGGCTTTTTTCAGCCCCTGTGACTCTTTTGCATTTCGGTTTTTGAGAGTTCTCCCTCTTTGCTCGCTGTCTCTGCCGTTCTCTTTCTATTTCTCGTTGCTGCTCTTTTCCTCGCTGTCTCCCGGGGTGATATAAGGCAGCGGTGCGGCTTCTGAGCATCCCTTGAAGTGTTGGGTCCTCTGAGAATACTTTAAAAGGCCATTTCATCATCTTCATGAAGCAGCACTTGGGACCAAGCTCAAATATGACTTATGTGAAAGTAGCATAAACTCCCTGGAAAGTTTTGTTGCAGCCTTTGCAGTTATGGGTTGTGCAGATCCACTCATGGTGTCCGTTTGTAGTTTTGCAGTCAGTTTCCAGCAGATTTTCTCTCATGTTGCAGATCAAGGAAGAGGGAAACAACTTTCTGGCGGACATCAAACTGCAGGCCACAAACACAGCGAGCTGTAAAAGAAATGCAGAGAATGTGGGGGTGCAAAGGCTCCCAATTTGCAATTTGATGCGGCAATTAGACATAGATGGACGAATGGATGTGACTCCTGTTTCTGATCCGCTTCCCAAACTGGGAAAACTTTAGATCCGCTTCACTCACCACCCTTCATCTGTCAATCTGGTGTAAACTAATCAGAGGTTGTTACTAGTTACATTTACTCAGTTATATTTGATTAAGTAACTTTAAAAAAAATTACTTAAATTACCATGGTTTACTTTTTAATTTTGTCCATATAGCACATTTTCAGTGCTTCATAATTCAAATTGCTTGAATTATAAAGTTTTTCTACATTTATTTGAGTAAAATTTCTGAATTCTCTACCCACTGAATGAAAAACAAACATGCTTTAGCCAAAATTTCCCAATAATTGCAGACACAAACTTGCAGATTTTGTTAAAATTTCATAGGTTTTTTTATTGAAAGAAACTGATTTGGAAAAAATTAATTTTACTTGATTTTATTTTGTGTTACTTAAATGAATTATTACCAAAATTTCCAATTAAATTTATATTTTGGCCAGAAGGATTATGTAATCTTAAATTACATAATCAGATACTCAGAACTTGAGTAGATATTTTTTATCAAATACTTTTTCACTCTTACTTGAGTTTAATGTTTGGATACATTTAGATTTAAAGGAGCTCAGTGTTTCGGCTGTTTTGCAGTTTTCTGAAAGTTTGTTTCAGATTTGTTGTGCATAGAACTGAATGCTGCTTCTCCATGTTTGGTTCTGGTTCTGAATGTGGAGCAGAACCAGAACAATATGTAGCGTCTTTTCTTCAGTGTATTTAAATATCTGGTTTCAATTGAATGACATATTTCCAAAGAAATGTGAGCAAAAGGCCACAGAAGATGGACAATAAAGAGGTGTTTATAAGACAGAACCTGTGGAATTTGACTTTTCTAATCTAACATAATTTAAAAATAATACAATTGGATGGGTTCGACTTAAATATGGCATGTAAATAAACAATGATGCAACTGATTCACATCTCATCTGATCAAACTAGGAAATCAAATATAACAAAAAAATTAGGAAATCAAATATAACAAAAAAATTATAGTTTTGATTTTGCAAATAAAAGTAAAAAATAAATATTCATCTGTTCATATTTTCTTACGTTTGTTTAGATTAGGACCTAGTGTATCGCAACTTCTGTCTGAAATCGGATTATTTACTTGAACCTGGTTCCCTTTAGCAGAGCTGTTTCTTATCAGATTTACAGAAGTTCCTGATTGAGCTGATCTGAATCAGCATTCAGAGTCATTTCTTCTTCTTCTTCTTCTTCTTCCTGCAGGAAGCCGATGAGGCTCATCAGCTTCTGGTGTAAAAGCTGCGGTGCCGCTCACCGTACAATGAAATCTCGCAGTTTCATCTGTGATTAATGATATTTGTGACATTGTTTGTCTGGGGTTTAGCAGTAAGAAATTAATGATGGATCTTAGAAGGCCATAAACACAGTCTGTATTTGGTGCCAAGCCGTTGGTTAAATATAAATTAAGAAGAAAGCGGAAGATCAATGGACTCAGTCACTCCCAAATCCCTGTTACTTTAGGAGTTGTTTGATGTTTCAAGAGAAGAGCTCATTCACGCTAAAATCAAAGACGTGTCGTTTCAGACGTGCTAGTGGTAGATAATATGGTGCAGGACTCTGGATTTGAGCTGGAGTTTGTTGTTTGTGTCTAAAGAAATGTTTCAAATTGAATCAATTACTGGCTTGTGGTAAAAAGAAAGTACACCCTTTACAACTTCCAGTGTTCTAATTAAGGAAATAAAAATGCTTTGAAAAGGTTCAAAACTTCAACCATATAAAATCTCTCAACAGATTTCCCTCTCCTGTTATTTGCTCATTCTGGATGCATGGATGAAACTTTGGAGTTTACCTTTTCGCCTTAGAACTAAATGAAAAATAAAAAAAATTAAAAAGTGGTTTTGTTAGTTGCTGCTGGTGGCACAATGCATTGTGGGATTTTGGTGTCAAATTTTTTTGTTTTCCATGAACTCAACTGAAATAGTTTAACCTACTAGGTATTTGTATTTTTAATCCAAAAGTTCAGAGCACTGGTTTAAGATGATGAGAATTCAGTTACACTGACTTGGAATCTTTATTAAACAGGCTGCTTCAGCAGAAAACACCTAATTGAAGCTGCAGAATGCAAACAAAAAATTTGTTGAAATAAGTTTTTTTCACCATGATTTGAAAAAGAATCAATGTCCTGTGCCTTCTCCCTGTTCTTCCAATTCTCCCAGTTCTCCCAGTGCTAACCAGAGCCCAGATTCTTCCCTCCACCTTTTGCTCTCTACTGCGCTGCAAATCGTCATGAATGCAATGACAGCTGATAAGCTGTTTTTTTGCTTCTCCATCATTAGTACACTGACCAGTACTAGAGGTTGATTGACAGCGTTAAGACCCGCCTCCTGCCTCTGATTGGACGGAGCGGTGCATTTCTTTTCACAGTTTTTCTATCTCATTAAATTGTCACCATAGTGACTGTTTCAATATGTCAAAGAAAAACCATGTTCTTTATAAAAGCAGCTGAGATCCAATCGAACAGCAGCGGAGAGAAAAGTTGTCAGGACGGTTGTTATAAAATAACGCTTTGGTTTGACGGAAACATGTATGTGTGTGTGTGTGTGTGTGTGTGTGTGTGTGTGTGTGTGTGTGTGTGTGTGTGTGTGTGTGTGTGTGTGTGTGTGTGTGTGTGTGTGTGTGTGTGTGTGTGTGTGTGTGACCCTGGATGTGAAGCAGAAATCCTCCACCAATCAGCGGATTACTGCACTGCTTCAGGGTGACCTCCAAGGAACAAATAAAACTAAATCTGGGCAAACAAGCCGCAGACTCTCATTCCTCCATGTGCATCTTTAATTCCTCTTTAACTCTATTTATTCCTGTTTATCGCTCCTTGTTTCTCTCCCTCTCCCTCTCTCTCCTCCCGGTGTCGCTCAGCCCCATCTGGGCCGCCGGTGGAGTCGGGACCGCCGGTCCCTGTCAGGGCAGCGCAGTGGGGCCCCGCCGGAGACACAAAGGCCGGATTACTGCGGCTGCCAGTCACACTAAGACCCACACAGCGACTCTTCGGAGTCTGTACCGGTGTCCTCACCCCGCGCACCCGGCCCGGTCACAAAGGGACATCATTAGCTCCGGCACAAAGGAGGCCCCACCTCACCGCGTCTCCACCGCCACCACA